TTCATGTATTTGCTGTGTGATAGTCAGTACGACACAAGCTTCCAGAAAAGCCTATTTTCCCAAGATGCACAGAATGGTGCGATCCATTTGTCTCGTAAATCCCCCGGCCGAGTTGGAAAGTGTAAATCTCACAGCTATCTCGCGACATTTCATCGAGACACACCCCCTTTTGGTCGTAATATCAACCATCCCACTCGGGGCTCCTCAGAGTACAACGAGCTGAACGAGGGTGAACGTACGACTCGCAAAACAAAGATGGCAGCGCCCATATTGAGATGTATTTTCTTTGTATTTGTACTACGTTGGTCGTTTTAATGTCGATCTTAAATGCTCTTACACACTTGTTTACATTGCTGCTTTAGTCCGGTCACCAATTTATGCATTGCACGGTGTTGCTGTGCGTGCAATACAATGTAAAGTTTTGTTTTCCAGCTGGTTTGCTAAATAGGCTAATGTAGCTAACAATAACACTAGCCTGCCACTGCCCCTGGTGGCTCCTGGTGGCTCCTGGTGGCTCCTGGTGGCCCCTGGTGGCTCCTGGTGGCTCGAGACAAATGCCACAGCACTTGTTGAAATTGAAATAGGCGAAAATGGCAAAATATTTTTGAAATGTAAGACTTGCAATAACGGAATTACTTGAAATGTTAGTGTTTCTGTAGAAAAACATATTATTATTTCCCATTGAGCTTGTTTAGAAGAGCCACAAGTGTGTTCTAGGAAAAAAAGGGGGGTCCATGTTGAGTAACGCCCAGAAAATGCCAGCAATGGGGGATTGGGTGGGGGGATTTACGAGAGAAATGGATAGCACCACTTTTTGCTGTGACCAGCCAATTTAAATTTGAGTTACAAATGAATACAAAACAAGCTGGCTTTGTTATTTCCACCATATTCCAGATTTGATTTCTTCCATGTAAAAATTCTGAATGAAGATTTTTAGCTCTTATTTGATATTTGTGTAACTTCAAATCCTTTACCTGTGGAAGAAACCTGGTTTTAATCAAGTTTCCTGTACCTTTTTAATATATAGCCTACGTTTAATGATGGCTCACAGGAAGTATGACTCAGCTGTGTGTTCTGTGCACAAAGGTGAGATTTGTTTGGTCTATAAATAATCAGAAGTAGCAACTTGTAACATCTGTGATAATATTTCAGATGTAACTCTGATCCCATCTGCCAACATCCCACAGGTTAATTTCCTGTTTTCAGCCCTGGTTCTATATTAGGAGAACATTCACCGTTTCCATTCCCTCCCACTTGGGACTGATCCATTTTCAGATTTGAGCACCAGCGCACTTTGTTGTCACGGCACTTGTTGTCAAAATGTCTACAAAGTGACGTAAGAGTTTGTCTGTTATAGAAGAGACTTTGGCTTTATGCACAGCAGGGTGGCAAAAGGGTTTAAGTGGTGAGAAAGGCTACGTCTGTTACAGAAGAAGGTGTGTGCAGAGGATGTCCTCAGATAGTCTGAAGAAATACTTGAAATTGACTAAAGTGTATTAAATTGAATTGTCTTTCTGGAAACACACAGATATGTATGTGAGAGACAGGTTCATAATTACACTTAATCTGTTGTGCGAGCACATGTCAAAGAAGGTGTTCTAATTGGATGTCACCCTAATAATGCCCTAGTGACCAACAGTCTTGTGTGCCATGTAAAACAATATGGACTACTTTGTTAATTAAATAATACTAGTTAATTAATAGATAAATGAAAACAATCATCATATATTATAAATATGATATACATTACCATGACAGCTTAAATACATTGGAGTGGCATTTTTCACAGTATACATTTTGACAATTCATAGAAGGAAAAGCATGGATAAACATCCTGTTGATGTTCATGGCTTACTGGGACACCTAAAGAACAGAGCCAATGTGAATATGGGTAACACATGCTTTTCCTACTATGACAAGACCGAATATTTGCTGGGAAAAAGGTTTATTGTGTGAGTATATCCAGCTGCAGCTGCAAACATGGACGTGAATCCAAATATGGTTAGTGGACTGGTTGGGTCACAGAAGAGACTGCGGCCAAAACGTGAAAATATTTATCTCAACATACCGAACTACAAAGGCTAATTCAAGATTCAGAAATGAGACCAAAACGTTTTTTCAAGTTATAATATGTGTATGTTAAATGCATGTGTTTGTCAGTGTCAGGCCCAATCAGAGGCACAGGAGGGGCGGGTCTTCACTGCATACATGGGAGAAAAAACTATGCGTTTGCAAAGGATGATGATTATTCACCATAAAAAATGTATGAAAACTACATCTACATCTAAATATATTTTTAGCAGTTAGGCTAACACAATTCATAGTTTATCCTTTATTTCTTAATAGTTGCTAAAACACCTTTATTTATATTAGTGCTGTCAGTTTAACGCGTTATTAACGGCATTAACGCAAACCCATTTTAACGGCGTCAATTTTATCGCGGGATTACCACCTAGCACACTTTTTTTTTCACATGCTGTTGCAACAACTAGTTACGTTAGAAAAACTACAACACCACACCGGATCTAGCTAGACCAGAAACAAAACAACAGGCACGCCGCACACACTTGTTTAAGAGTAGTAGACGTTACGTTATGAGTGGATGGCGAGCGTGAGATGCCGAAATGGATGGATTCCTTGTTGTCTGAAAATGTCAACAGGCTTGTCTGTTTGAGTAAGTGGCTCAAAGCATAGACGTAGTAGGCTTACCTTTTATTGGTAACCGTTACTGTTCATTCTTTCTGAAATAAGAGGCTGGGTTGAGCCTCTGGTGAATAAAGAGCAGTAGCCTGACGGCTATGTTCAAAGCAAACTTGAGAAAAGTATTAAGCCATGGTTTAACTGCACTGTGCAAATGTTGTTTTCAGTAAAAACAACATTTGCACAAAGCAAGCCGATCCACTTTTCCATGTTGATAAGAGCATTAAAATGAGAAAAAATAATGGGACAAAAAGAAATCAAGGGACATTTAGAATAGATAAAAATGTGCGATTAATTGCGAGTTAACTATGACATTAATGCGATTAATCGCGATTAAATATTTTGATAGTTTGACAGCACTAATTTATATTTAGTGTTCCTAAGTCAGCTTTTGTTTGAATTCATTCATTGATTAGACCACATTATTTTGCGCTGAATGTTCCTTGATTATTTTGGCTCAAAGGCATAGACAAGGTTATCTTTATTTCTTTGCTTAATAGTTGCTAAAACCTTTTACCCTTTTCATTTTACTTTTTGATCTGCCATAGTGCACTATATTCCTCAGCCACTTTAGCTTTGTGTACAAGTGGGAGTGTTCGAGGAGACATTTGGACTGCTTTACTGCCTTCACCAACAGATTATATTAATTATATTATTAATAGGTATGGTTTGTAGGGGATGGGGTTTGTAGTCGCAGCTGGACATTTTTCCTATTATGGGATAATGCCAAATGCTGAAATGTAGTCATACAAGTATAGAAGAGTCATAAAGTCAGTGAACGTATATAGTAGTATCTATCTTGCGAAGACTAATTTCAACTACAATAAGCTACTGCTCATACCAAGACTGGCTGAACGGTTTGCTTTATGATCTCCATCAGGTGTAAGCTGGAGGAGATCCTGTGTTTGATAGTGTACGTGTGTCCATGTATGTGTCTGTCTGTAGCTAATCTCATACAACTGGATCCATCACCCTCATATTTTTTGGGCACATTTATTATGAGAACCTTCTGTGGTTGTGATGATTCACAATTTTCAAAAAATCTATTTTACTGACTGCTCTGTTTTATACCACCATTGACTGCTGACTCCTCTTAACCAGCACGTAGGGGCCGCAAGTGATCAACAGCTGCTTCAGTTTGGAATCATGTTTTTGCCAACATGCTCACGTTAGTGTTGGCAGATTCTTTTGTTGGTATTTTCACTATGGAATGAACATTTTACATTGTTGGTGTTTTGGAATTGCCCAAGGTTTTCCTCCATATGCAGCCTGTGTATTCTGGTTACACTTTGATTATGTAACCTGCATATTGTCTCCCCTTCATTCCACGACACTCATGCATATACGCTGGATACATAACCTGCCCTGCATTTAATCATGATTCCACTCTGACCATTATCTCCACACACAGTTGAGGTTTCACAGCTACTACTCTTTACTAGTTTACTACTGTTTTGATCTTGATCTTGACGTTGTGGAGCAGCCATCACATCTGACACGTTTTTAATGCATTTCTGTCCTACATCTAACCACTTTCTTTTTTTCTGCTTACAGGCCAAAACCAATCTTCATAACCACACAGTGTGCATAAATTTGTCAGCATTTCCAACGTCCCAGTGTCTAAATCTTATTTTATGATAAACTTCACAGAGGGATGAGTCTGGGATTCGTTGGCTAACTTTAGTAGCTTTGTTTAAAAATACTGTTGGTTGCACAACAAACTGCACATTGCCTGTACAATAACATGCAGTTATAATAATAATAATAATAATAATAATAATAACATATAAAGGAAGTGTTGTATTATTATCAACAATAGCTAGAATATATCTTTCTCTTACTACAGCACGAAAGCAATTGGGCTCCTGCTGTGACGATAAGGCAGTATTATTCATAGGGGATTGCCATGGCAACCTAATTAGAGTGTGTGTGTGTGTGTGTGTGTGTGTGTGTGTGTGTGTGTGTGTCTGTGTGTAGGTTTTTTACACATTACTGTTGTAAATACTTTGCCCACACTGCTGACTAGTGGTTTTATTACTCCACTTCTCAACTAGTGGAATAGTGAATACAACAGACTGGATTTTCCTACATTGACCTCTGGGCACCAGTCTTACCAAACAGGTCAACAGCTCTATTGTGTGTATGTAATGTGTGTCTCATTGCATTTTTGTAGTATGGGAAAGGTTTGAGAAACCATGTTCTTATTTATTCTAGTAGTATCTCTTCAGTCCTCCCTTCCATCCATCTGTCTGTGTGTCTGTGTGTCTGCCTAGTCCCACCTCATGTCATCTCTCCATCAGGGCAGCCTCCTCACCAAACCTCGTTGCAAGCCGTTCCCAGATGCCACCCCAGTATCTGACTGTGCGGTATGTCCCAGCCATTTTCAAGGGAGGGGTGTCTCACTACAATCAGGCTTCACCCCTCCCCACCGCTCTGCTTGCTGCCATCAGCCCTGGTCTCTTCCTTTCCAAATCTACATGTCTGTGTCATTGTTTCTTCGGGAATGAATGGGTTTCAGTGTTCAATAAAGTGTGCTTTCGTACCTGTGGGAGCTGCAGTTGCTACAACATACAGCTTGACTGTAAAGCAAGTACCAGGGTTAGCAGGATGTAGTATCTCAAAGACTGATTTTACTTGGGCAAAGGTCAGGTATTAAAGAATGCCCTGTTTTTGAGGTTCAGACCTCAGTCGAGCTCCCCTGTGATTTCCTTTTCCTCCTTGACTTTCAACAGGCTGTCCGTCTCCGTGCTTGCTGGTTCGGGTGTTGTGGGTGTCTCAGCTTGTGATTTTTCAAGTGTCTGTGCTACCACTGTTGTGCCCGCTGCCCTTTCTCTGATCATCTTACTATATTTCTTCTTGCTTCTTGGAACCTGTGGGTTTGACTGGAGCTAGGATTTAATTCCATACCTCAGTTCCAGTATCTCTTTGGGTTTAAAGGGTCAATCATTGAATAACACAGGCCTGAAACTGCTGCTGCTCTGCTCGCTGATAATCATGTAGACAGAATGTAAAATCGGGTTGGTTCTCCTGGCACTGAATGGGTTAAAGCCAGAGGTGTAGTGCTTTTTGTTTAAGTACCAGAGAGCACCTGTGACACGTGCACAGTTAATTTTTCAAAGGTTCCTATGGTGGCAAGTTTACATACATTAGTCAACTTTAACTGACCGCACGATCAAATGTTAAGCTGACTTAATTCATCATGTTTATAATATTACATAGCAATAAGCAAAACATCTAGCTAAGTAATGTTAGTCTATACCATGTAGAAGTAGTAGGTTGTAATTAGTGTGGCATTGAGCTATAGGTGAAATAAGTAGTGAGCAAATGAAAACTCGTTCAAAACATTTAGTCTTACATATGCTTTAGTGATGATTGGTTCTTGAAGCACTTATAAAATATAAATGAATTTATGCATCACTTTGAGAAAAAAGTGTCAGAGCGCCGTTCTACTGTTCTCTGGCAGCATTACATCAATGGTTCAAATCCTACATATCTGAGCAAAGGAAAATGATGTGGACTTCCCCAGGGTTCAATTGTAGGGCCTCTTCTTTTTCAAACTCAACATCCTCCCACTAGCTTAAATTAGGCAAAACTACTGAGTGAAAGTCACGGATGGGATGTGCTTAAAAGAAGAAATAATCTGAGGACTGTAGCAACGTGTGGGGAGCTCCATTCCTTAATTAAACACATACATATGGTGGGCAGTTTATAGGCTGAGTATTTTTAGACTTAATATTCTATACTTAAAATGTATCATTTCACATTTTATGTAGAACATATTTCACATTCATACATATATATATATATATATATATATATATATATATATATATATATATATATAACAAGTTTTTTTTAATGTTAAAATATATTAAAGAATTGACCTAGAAAGGTTTGTCTACACATCAGTTTTTTTAAAATATATTTTTGGGGGCTTTTATTGCCTTTTTAATGGATAGCAACAGCTTAAGATGGACATGGAAGGGGGGAGAGAGAGGGGATGACATGCTGGGGCCACAGGTTGGATTCGAACCCTCTGCCCTGCAGCAAGGACTCAGCCAGGTGAGCTATCCGGGTGTCCACTTTTAAGTAGCCTAGACCACTGGTGGTGTGTTCACAGTCAGGTAGTTGCAGCTCACTTAGAACCCTACCGCCAGAGAACCCAACACATCAGTCAGGGTATAAGGTCACTGCATTAGCTACGTATGTGTAAAATACAATACAAAACAAAATGACATAGTGTTGTATTTGTTTAAAGTACATATTCAAAATATTTCTGTTTTTCCAGGACAGAGAATACAGGGCCACACCCTCAAAGTGAAACGTCAGTGGAGGCCATCATTCAAGCTCTCCTATCATGAGTCCTTGCCTTTTTTTCAATCAACTTGCTTTGATTACAGATTGTCCCATCAATGTAGCCCCTGTCATTAACTGCACTACCACTGAGTAAGGCTGACAGGAGACGAGCTGCAGCCCTGTGACTCAACTAACAATTTATTCCTATTGAAGATACACGGCTTGTTTAATTAGATAGAACATGAGCCGTTTGGGATTACGGGTTAGGAAATAATAAATATTATCTTGATAGAGGACGCACACAGGAAATGTACTAGCTCTGAGCTAAAGAGATGTCTGTAGTCCCAGTGGCTTCCTGGCACCATAGATAGCAGGCGAAGAGGTCACACTTAATTTGTCTGCCAGACAGCAGGAACACCACCGGGAAGAGAAAAGTTAATGTTCATCTTTTCATTCCTCTGTACCAAATGAATATTTTTTCTTATCTCTGCAATGGGGGTAGTGATGATGGTGAATGTCTGCTGCCCTTTTGCTACTTTCTGAACAAACGTTGAGGCAGGAAAAGGTGTTGAAAGGTTCCAGACACGGAGGCAGAGACACACAGGCGTTTTCTTTAGCCAAAGAGAGCTGTGCGTTTATTTCTTTCCTCTTTGATTTGATAAAGCCTATTTCTGTATGTTCCAGGCAAGTGGTCCAGATGAAAGTAAACACAGGAGGCACATTTAGCTCTCCCTGTAAACTTTTATTGTGCTGTAATTAACTGCACACCGCAGCCTCTCATTGCAGCCATTTGCATTTGCAATTAATGCTTTTGTCAACCCCCTTTTGATGTTGGATTTAATTAAATAAGACGCCATTATGAATCTGATTAATATCAAAATTGCTTACAAAAGGCTCTCACCGAGGAGCAATGAGAGTCACAGAGCAGCAGGGCCTTTACAGCACAAAGCAGTCAAAGCTGGAACAGCAGGGTGTTCCCCCTTCAAATGCAAAGCAGGTTCACCAGTGGATGATTACACAGATATCCATTCAGACTAAGCTGTGACTGCCAGATTCTATTCATTTTTCCAGAGTGATCCGTGTAATGAAAATGTGTTCCTGTGGCTTCTTTTGTCCTCTGACTGTCCCACTAGTCATTCTGTGCTCGTAATGACTGTGCCCCTCCCTCTGTTTTAGCTCTCAATGCTCTTCACTGAGGAGTGTGATAAGGTTCGGGACCTGATGCACGTCCACTCCTTCAGCTACGACTTCCACCTGCGAGTAGTTCACCAGTACTTGGTCGGCTGCCACATGACACTACGCCAGGGCTACCAGCTCACCGACTTCCTGGACGACTTCATCTCCCATCACCCAGACATTCCCAAGTTTGGTCGCAACCACGTCTTCCAAGGTGGTGTAACATAATATTTCAAGTCACCTTTTAACTCCAGTTGCACTGAACATCTAGAATCAGGAGTAATAGTTGCACCACAAACAATGTTACTTAGTCCTCTGAAAAAACTTGTTTCAGTTCCACAGAAAAGAGTTAAATCTGCTGCATTTGTTTTCCTCTTTGCATTCTGTATGTGTGTATCACCCTTGCTTTAGCCTTACTAGGAGGTCTTTTTCACAGAGTAAATAAAAGATAGATATTTGCATCTTCATATCAAGACTGTTAAAGCTCTGTGGGTGGGCAGGAAGAACTGGGCTATCTCGTGATTATCTTTGTGAGAGTTTCTGATCCTTGTGCACATCAGGGAGCTTTTCCATCTCCACGGGGATGATAACAGCTCATCAGCTCTACAACTACATCACTGACCATGCCAGCACCTACGGCATGAAGCCGCTCCGCATGTCTAAGGCTACGGTCACCACTGACAGCAAGAAAGGGACGCCTGACCTGCACGAGTATGCACTAGTGGCTCTATGGAACAGGTAAGAATGTTTCAGGATCACAGAATAAATATATTCTCCTTACATAAGCTGCTTCATGTCAACCTACTCTGCATTCCCTTCTTTATTGCTTTAGTTCGGGCTCTTACAAGGATCTGGAGGGCCTGCACCACCATGATGACTTTGACGTGTCCCTGGTGGTGTGCCATAATGCCGCTCCATTTGAGGAACAGTCAGACGGGGAGAGGCATTTGCTGAGGTAAAGAGATATGAAAGAACAGATTAAAGAAGACATGAAGCATAAAATACTGAGTAATAATAAGTCATTGGTGAGGGTAGAGCACAGCACTACTGGAACACCACATGCTGTGGGGAGTCTGGGAAGAGGCTATTTTTCACTAGTTTTCCTTATAATTCATCATATTTTAATGGTGTGAACTGCAGTACATGTACGGTGTGCTTTCACTGTGTTAGCTCTAGTTTTTTTCTTAAGTGCCAAAACCATTTATTTATTTGCTAATTGACATTTTGCAAATGTCTAAAAGTGTTCTGTCCAACACTAGTTTCAGCTTCTCAGAGTTGAGGATATGCTGATTTTCTCTGTTTTGTATTACTTGAAATATAATATCTTTGGGTTTTCAGGGGTCTTAAAAAGTCTATAATTAAATGATCAGAATTGTAGCAATAATCAAATACAATTTTGACAGGTCTTACAAATTAATTGGATAAATTATGCTATCATTGCTTGCATAAAGTTGTATTTTCTCTTTTAAATGAGTTTTTATATTTTATTTCTCATGCTGTTACAACTACAAAATCAAACCAACCTGGAAGCAATACTGTCCTTTATCCTTGGTACTTTTTTATGGACATTCCAGTTGAAAAATAATAATCACATTATGATTGTACCTCAGAATGAGCGTGTTCTCTTCCATGGAGTCCACCATGTTGAACCGCCATATTTCTAGAGTAGCCCAGAACGGACAATCCAATATTGATTCTAGATAGGGTCTTTCATGTTTCTTACAGCCACCATAGTTTGTCCTACACGTTACACTTGGTACACTCTCCCCACTAGATGCCACTAAATCCTACACACCGGTCCATAACCCAGCTGACTCTTATAACTCGAAATAACACATATCACAGTTATGTAGCCAATTCATTGTTATGTATTAGTTTACTGGAAGTTGTTGTTTGCAGCGGTACAGATATTGCTGTTATAATGTCATGATGTATCCTGTACCTTTATTTGTAGGTTGCGGTTCTATGTGATCATGACTAGTCAGAGAGAGCTCTTCCCCCGCCTCACTGCTGACATGCGTCGCTTCAAGAAGCTTCCTCAGATCCACCGTGATCCTGGTGAGCTCGGAGGGAGGCTCCCCCAAGATCGATCAGAAGGGTTGCGTGGTGCCGAGCAGGACCTCTGGGAAGAAACATCATCGGAAGCTGCGGCCGCCTCAGTCCCCAGCGACGGCAATGAGTTTTACCCTCTGGCGGCGGGGGGACCAGAGGCTCAGGGGCTGCTCTACCCATCCCCTCTGTTCCCTCTGCTCAACAACGAGGTGGCGTCAGCCCGCAGACAGATCCAGGCCAGCGTGGAGCAGGCCATGGGTCACTGCCGCAGGGATAACCTCTGGAGGAGGCTGTTTCACGGAGAGCACCTGGCCCTGGACAAACTGAAGCTAACCAAGCTGTCGTTTAGTGAGCTGGAGGAGCTGCTGGAGGCTGTGCAGAGCCGCTCAGTGGGGGAGATCGACCCACAACTAGTAAGATTCCCACTTAAACTTTATTTCCCTTCATTTAACCCTTCCTAAGTTTTAGGAGCACTGGGCAGCCACCGTTCAGTAGAACTCCAGATCTGAACTTGGTCTAGGGCACTGACTGGAGAATTGACTTAATATACATATTTTGATGGTGGGGGAAACAGCGAGTTCAGCACTCAAAACTAATCTTTAGGTGCACATATCAAGGCCTGGTATATAATAATTTAAGGATCTATCACAACCTGTAGTTTGTTTAAAAAAACATTGATAGATCATAGGTGTTGAGATCTGGGAACATGGTGACATCTGACGGGTTCTACCTGAATTTTAAAATGATTAGGCAGACTGCCTGTTGTAAACATTCATCACTTTGACCTGCTGTACTTAGCCTCAGAGGTGTGACTGTTTTGGCAAGTCATAAGTAAGTCTCATGGTTTGGCTATTAAGTCCTTAGACTCTTAAAGTCCCTAAATATTTCACTCAATAGAGACTAAAGACTTTCTCCTAGTTTTCGTTGCTAAAGAAGCAGAAGTTGTGTGCTTGTAAACACTCGATGCTTGGGACATCCATTTTAAAGGTTTAAAAAAAGTTATCTCTGTGTTACAAACTCCAATCATCTGGTATTGCGAGACCATGAAGTCCTGGGTCAAGTGCCAAGTCCCCCAAGAGAAGTCTTAAACGTCCTATTTAAAGGACCAGTGGGTAGGATTTACTGACATCAAGTGGTGAAGTTGCAGATTGCAACCAACTGAATACAGCTCAGCCTTACAAGCATGTAGGAGAAAATGGTGGCCGCAAAACTCCAGAAAAACACAAAAGGCCCTATCTAGAGCCAGTGTTTGGTTTGTTTGTTGTGGGCTACTGTAGAAACATGACGGTTCAACATGCCGGTAGAAGAGGATAAGGATAATTCCTGCACCACCAAACACAATGCTTACTGATGGAATCAGAATATATCTTTATTTATTTATATATATATATGCCTACATATTTGTCAGAAGTTGATTTGTTGCTCACCTTTTTCATCTTTGGGCTTAGAGAGGTTATTAAATCATTCCAAGTCAGTAGGCTAAAGTCCAAGTGGAGTCACAAGTCATAAGTGTTAAAGTCAGAGTTGCATAGTGTCATATACGCTCTGACACGGCTGGAGACAGCTAGAACACTTATCTTATACTGAATGTCATTGACCTACACTTTCTTTTTATATCTTTTATATTTAACAGAGAGAACGGGTACTGTTTCTGAGTGCATCCAAGGGATTAAGGTTCCATTTAGAGCTGGATAATGGATGCCTCTAAAATGACTTTAAAATAACTGAATCACTACAGCAAACACTGCTACTAAGATGGGGAATATTAGGTGGTGAGCCAATATTTGGTCAAACCTTGTACTTTGTGATATCACTACTTGACTGCTCTTCCAAACAACCCTTTTCTTTATATGTAAAATGATTCTGTTGTGTTTTTGACTGATGTGAAGGGGTGGTAGACATGTTGCTTGAGAGCTCACATATCAGATAGCTGACAGATGCTGTTCACTGGCAATCAACCTAATACGAGCTGCCAGTATAGCAGCGTGTCTGATAGTGATTGAAATGCCTCCACCCAAATACAATGGAGCTGAATGGTGAATAATAAACATCTCTTACCAAAAGATGTGAGTGCCACAAGCTAAATTTCATTGTGTTGTGATGGCAGCAGATAAACCAACCCTTCTTGATTTTAAGGGGTATAAGAAAACTTAAAAATATACAGGCCTAGATTTCAGCATTTCATTCATTTCTGTGAAAACTAAATGCGATTGTAAGGTTATGATTTTTATTTGAGATCTGAACTTTGAAGACCTGAACTCAAGCTGTATTCAGAGCCTTCACTGTGTGATAAACAGCCTTGTCCTGCATTACGAGAGGATGCAGTAAAACATTGATGCAGTTAATAGAACAATGGTTAAATATCAGGGAGAAGAAAACACTGAATTTGTCAAAAAAGAAGCCTTTTAAGCATGTATGATTGTTAAAAAATATAAATATTTGTGACAATGATAGAAAGGGACCCCTTAACAAAAGGTTGTGAACCACTGATCTAGGTTATGTTTTGTTGCAGTAGAGAATGTCACATACAGTATCCAAATGAAAATGTTGGCCGGTCACATACAACCATGACAGGAGGTAGACTTTATTAATCCAACAGGGTCTTCCATGTAAAACGTTTTTATAATCATATTTTGCTCTAGCTGAATGTCAGGTACAGCAGAATGAAACACTGTCTTCAGATACAGTTTATGATGAATGACAGGCAGTTTGCTGTAATGACGGTGTGTTTGTGTTGCTGCAGGACTGTTTCCTGACCATGAGTCCAGCCTGGTACCAGAGTCTGATCAAAGTCCTGCTGAACCGCTTCCCTCAGAGCTGCAGACACTTTGACGACAACGGCATCCAGTACCTGGTGAGACCATGCTCCTTATTTCTGTTCTCTTTTTATGTGACAGCAAATGAAGCGTGGTCAGAAACAATGTTGGTGTTCTCTGGTGTTTAGTGGTTTCTTGTTTTGTTTGTATGTCACCAAGTCAGCCTCAGCATTTCTCTGGCTTCTGCTCGATGTAAAACGTGGGGACAATCATTTCATTGAAAGAATAGTCAATTTAAAACTGTGACAGCTCAGTACTTAAATGTAAAACAGACTCTGGAGGGATTATTTTTATCTGGAAGAGGATTATTATTGGATCATTTGTGAAACTATTCACTCAATTTGTGAGAAGAGAGAAATCTGAGATCAAAAGAATTTCTGGGTACTGACAGACTATGACCACAGTCTGACCTCTCCCCTCTGTCCTTTCCCTTTTTTCCATTTTATTAGCTGCATCTTTTCTGTCTGATGTTTTCTGTAACTGGTTCAAAGGCACGTGTTGTTCACTGATCCATTTTGGGTCAACTCACAGTGGTGTGCTGTTTGTTCCTGACGACTACAACAAAGCTTTCTGTACACTAGAACTCTAATTTAACAGCTCTGGCTGGAGTCTCTCCATGGCAACAGCCACTGAGACTCATGGGTAGAATAGTATTTTGTGCCAATTATATCACTTACACTTTACATCACCATACTGTTGTGCTTCAGAAATCTGGATGTACTTTTTCTGCTCCTTCAGGCGGCCATTGCTTTGCATTCAATCTATTACACGCTCTGCTGTGTAAGCCTTCACAGTGAACATCAAATCTGGATTTGTGTTTTTCAGTGTTGTATAACTGTCAAGGTGGTAAAACTTCTCCTTAGAATATGATTTCTCTGAATCAGTGTGTATAGTGTAAGGCTTCTCATTGTCAGCAAATCCCATAATACACAAAAATCAGTTCCTCGCTGACTGCTCTACTCTGACTCTCAGCTTCCATTGGTTCCTACTGAAGTAAATCTAAAAAAAAAACACTTAACAACAGGTTTCCCACTCATCCTGGAAAATCTGGAAAATTTAGACACTAGTTTTCCAGCCATGAAAACACCTGGAAATTTATTAAAATGACCAAATATCCTGAAAATAATCTCTGTTGTCCTGGAAAATGTTGGCCCCTCACTCAGATTGCCTATGTAAACCTGGGTGCGTACACAGTTTGCTCCAGATCTACTAACTGCCAGTATTTTACCATTTCTCACAAAAAGTGTGTCCTTAATGTTTAACATCATAAAGATGAAATAAAAGAATCCTTGTAAGTAGACAACTTAACTTTGTAAAAAAAGTCGATCTAATCTCCAGTATATCTCTGTCTGCCATCTTGTTTCAGGCTGTTCTGAACCAAAAGTTCACTGACTGCTTTGTTTTGGTCTTTTTGGACACCCAAGCTGGAAAAACAGTGAGTTAATGTACTGATATGATTTATGTTATTATTTCACTATAGCTGTGCAAACATCTCGGGAGTGTTTCTTTTACATTTTCTTCCTCCCACAGAGTCTGAAGGTCGTGTTTCGGGAACCGTTGCCGTCGCAGCCGCAAGCCAGCAACAGCCCCCCTCCTCAGCTGGTGTCCATGTATCATCACCTGGAGTCTGTCATCAACACCGCCTGCTACAATCTCTGGACAGGACTGTTGTAGTATTGATCAGTGCTGGACTTAACCTCGAATCATGTCCATGTAACCACGATCAACACATGGAGACACGAGGCAACAGTGGAGGAAAACGGGTCAGCATTGGGAAGAGCAGCATACCGGATGAGTGAAGTTACCGTATTTCTGCAGTACCCTGTAGCACACAGGATGCATTCAGTAGAGAACTGACAAAAAAGACCAGAGTTTCAAACAACAAACTCAACCCTGACATCTGTTAGCCCACCTAGCTCCAAACCAGTAGGAAAAAAAATGTGATTAAAAACTAAATGGCTCCTAACTGGTGTGTAGAAACCCCCCATTAGCTGGTTCAGTGTCTTTAATCCTCTGATATACTTGCTTTTGACCAGGCATTCATGTGTGCATTATAACCACCACATAGCCTATGTCCTGGATTCCCTCAGACCGTTGTGTGTGTGTGTGTGCAGGAATTAACGCTGCACAAGATGGAATTAAACCCACAGAGGATGGTAGTAGTGTACGTGTGTCACCGTGTTAAGTTGGAATATGTGAAAATGTTCCAATGTCGGCCAGTGTCGGGCCCATCCTGATCTGCCTCACAGTGGGTAAACGTGTTAATCCACTAGTTCCTCGCAGTACGCAGCTGCAGCAGGACCAGTACCTCTCACATTGAAGCTGTATACTTTGTTAAAAAGCAAGTATATCACAAGCATTAGTTTCTCTGGGTACTGTGACATTTTTCACTGTGCACAATATATCTAAAACTGCCTACAATGCAGTTCATCGAGCCAGGCTAACAATGTATGTATTCCCTCAGTGTATCATTGTAGGGGCACAGCGCTCTGAAACATGATATTAAGCTTCAAAGAAAATTAGCAGACTTGCTACATGAAGCTGGCAGACACTGTGTTATATGTTGTGTCAAAGATGGGGTAGGTGAGCGAAAAATCCAATACTGATGACAAATACCAAGATATAGAGCCACAGCAAGTAGTGTAGCTAACGTTAGCTATGTTGTGGGTTAGCAAGCTGTCGCTAATGTTGAGCACAAGAATAACAAGTTAGCGCTGTGTGGGTCGCTGACTGTGCACCTGGTTTAAACTGTTCAGAGCAGTGATAATTGGGTTCCCAGCTGGAACCAAAGTGGGCGTGTCATATTCCACAGGTCATTGTGCATTGTACAGCACCCTCTGTTGATGACGCATCCTTGATTACTATGGTTCCACTTACAGCGCAGTGTTTCACTAGATAGCCCTTAGGTTCCAAGCATTGGTTCAAGAACCAAAACTAATTTGATGGAAACACACTATATATTTGTTTCCCATTTACAAAGCCAGGGCTGCGTACGAGTCGACAATCGGACTGCAAGGAGATATTTGCTCAATTTTGAAGTGTATTTGATTAGAGTGGCATTACCTAGAAATGCTTACCCCACCCTAAACTTACACTACACATTATAATCAGCCTTTCTGCACTTTGATGTTCATATTGTACATATGTTCAACTGACAGGCCATGGCGTGCAGCTCACACTGAATGCACAGAACCTCCAGTCAGTTTTGACAATTCCAGTAACATTTAATAAAAAAAGACCATGTCCCCCAAAGAGAGAAACGCAACTTTAGCTTTGTGCAATTCTACTATGAATGGAAAGTAAAAAGAATATGAAGCCAGAGCTGGAAGATACAGACAATATGGAGTCTGTTCTGCGGTGAGTCAGCAGTCTGAAACTGCCAAAATCTAAAGGATCATCCATGAGCCAGATTATTGATCATTCAGGCAATTAATCAGGTGCTGTGACCTTAATCTGAACGCCAAGTGACAACTGATGTGGCGGACGTTTGTCCCGATCTGGCGGATATTTGGGGCAACCAATCAAGGTTAAAATTGGGTTTAATAATCCACAAACTGTCTGCCAGGCTTTAGACGGCAAAGGCCACTTATTTAATGAGAGGGGCGATTACTTTGACCTTCATCTTGTAACTACATTGATAATGAGGATCAGGATCTCAGCAGGTGACGGATCCATCACATAAATTCAGTTCACAGTAATTAATCAGAGTAACACATGAAGATGTTGGGGAAATCAGCTTTTACAAGCTGGGAAAGGTAGAGGTAACCGGCTGGACCAGGGGGGCAGCATCGCCCACCACCTCAACTAAAGCTGGACATACACTGTACGATTTCGCAAAATAATGTTTAATTCCAACTCCTACTGTACGAGTAAATTGTCTGCGTTGTAAAGCCAAACTCACGACCTGAGAGCTTACAATGAAATGTGAAAATGAAAGAGCCCATTGGCCCCTGCAGACCGCTCTGTCTATTGACAATTGGCATTTGATGGATCCAAGGCAGGTCAAGGCTAGCAACTGGTAACAAACTGAACACACACAGAAACTGGCTTAAACGGTACAGTGTATGCCCAGCTGAACACTTGAGCCAGTAATATTCAGTGTTTGAAAGATGCAGCTTGTGCTATAACTCCACCTGCAACTGAGCAGGTCTATGAAGTCTGAAGCGGACACCCTGTTGGGTCGGGTCCTCAGGGTTTTCAGGGATCAGGTCTGCCTGAAGTCTTTAAGCACGGAGCCTTTTACTGATCGGCTGACCATTCTGAGCAGTAAAAGTGGAAAGCAGATGAGATTTGTCCATCTCTCTGTGGATCAGGACCTGGAAGGTCTTGGAGTTCTGTGCTCTGACACATATTCTGATGACCTGATGGTTAAGGAAACATTTTTACCAGTGGAGAAATCGCTGCTTGATTTCTTTCTCCTCATATTTCACTGCGAACCACTAAATGTTTATCAGCAGTCTGGGTTTACTGAATCTGATGCTTCAGCGTACGGTCATATATATGATGGATGTGTCCCACAAATCCGTTTGCTGGTTTGTCTGTTTTAGGGGTCAACCAAACACCAACTTGCTGTTGGTTGAGGCTGTGACTTCTCCAGTTAGAGTTCACCAATGTTGAGCTCCACGCACAACGCAGATGCTAATCTCTTTTACCACTGGAAGCAAAGGATTTATTCAAACTTTGCTTGCAGGGAATGAAAGTGAATTGGAGGATTCCCAGTGCATGCGTGACCGTGCTGAAATGCAACGCAAGCCAGTCATAAACAACCCACAATGAACACTTCTGGCTTTATAACTGCACAGGTTTCATACTCCACAGCTTCATTAATTGGTTTGATGTATCCTGTGCCTTCTGATAGTATTTTGCTAGCTCTTCATACAGTGTTTTATATGAGAGTCAGCTGAGATGTCAGGAGTGCAGAGTGGGAAGGCTTTTATGTTAGATTTTCAAAAGTGTCAAACCTGTTACTCACTTGAACCCCACTGCCGTATCTGGTGCCCTGAAGTGCCTTTCTCTGTTTACTTTCTCCTTTTTTTCCCCCTTTTTTTTTAATTCTCTAACCTGTGAAGTGATACTGTTCATTCATTCCATCAGCTCTGCATAGAAGATCTTTGGAAACGCACACTCCTGATGTTATGCAGTGAAAGTGCCTAAGTCGGTTCAGAAAATGTGACAGAAATTGCCTTTCATAAGAAAGAAAATGGGTCACATTAACTTTGATGATTTGCATAATAGCGTGCCACGTGTCATCAGTGCAGTGTTTCCAAAGCATGTTCAGGGTGATGAGTTTGACTTCTGTTGTGTATTCTGAAACAGTGCAGCTGGTAATCGCACCTCAATTTACAAGAGGGCGGAAGCCAAGACATCGCTACAAACAGAGGCTTGGTATTCGTCACAGTACCTTGATTAATGACATACTCAACGGCCTTAGATTTCTACACCTTTTCACTGGAAGGAAACCAAATACGTGTTTGAGCTTCTTCGTGGATGTAAAATGAAGAAATGTTGAGCAAAGCAGCGCTGTCACTGCTCAGTCTGAATGTTAAACACTAGACATTCATCGTGCAAAATGTGAACTGTAACAAGTTAGCCCATAGCTTTTTGACTCTGTGATATAAACACTGCACTGTCCCTAACTGTATAATGTATATTATGTATATACACAGAAGACTTTATACAGTATGTGAAATGCTAAATAAAGCAGTACGATGAATAAGAATGTGTTGAATTGTTTTCACATTAACACAAATACTGTGGGAATCTGAGATGGAATAAAGTCTTTGCTTATGATTAAGGGGAAATAAACCTCTACGATAAATGACTACACTGCACTAACTTGAGTCAGCTGATAAATTTGATCAATAATTTGGGACTAGTTTGGATTTTTCATCGGTAAAAGATGACCCAAAGGACCGGTGTGGCAGCTAGCAGTGCAGTTGCAGATTCCAACTCCCTCCATCAGCCTCCCATTCCAAGCTGAGGGGAAACTACAGTGGCTGCAAAACTCGTGACAAAAGCGGAAGGCCCTATCGAGAGCCTGTAGGTTTGTCCATTCTGGGCTACTGTAGAAACATGACTGTTCAACATGGTGGACTCTGTAGAAGAGGACCCGCTCCCTCTGTAGTTAAAAACAACTCATTCTAAGGTAACAAAAACACAGTGATTCTCATTTTCCGGTGATTATACACTGATGAAAACATAACTATCAATATTATATTCCATTTCTGACATAGATCCTCTTCAGTATTACACACTGGACCTTTTCATAGACAGCTCACAGTCTAACAGGGTTCCCACTATTTTGAGAAAGCATTTCCCAGGAGTATTCTTGATAATACAGGACAGCACTTGCTAACAAAGTCATATAATTTACCGGCAGACCTTGTAATGATACATTTAACCCAGATTTATTACATACATGACCAGCACAGGTAACAGTTCAAATTAAGTAGAATTTAATTTATTTTATAGAATATTAATCTTCTTCACCTTTTAGTCTATCAAAAGCAGCTGCAGAAAGTTTGTTGCACATGCAATTATCGTCTCTATTAACCACAAGACATTTTTCCACTGGGCTTTTATGAGAATTTTGCTTGTGGCTCAAGAAGAAAATACACTTGACACCAAAAACATTGCTGCAAGTTTGTTCCACATGTGGTAAACCTGTTGTAAAGTGTTGTTCCGTGCAGGTTCTCCTACCAACAGCCGTGTTTCAAACTAAATACATGGGCAATCTGAGGGAAAGGCTAAAGTATGCCTGTGTGTTTTGCACCGGCATGTACAGCGGGTAAAATAAGTATTTAACACGTCACCATTTCTCTCAGTAAATACATTTCTAAAGATGCTATTGACATGAAATTTTACCATATGTCGGTAACAACCCATGCAATCCACACATGCAAAGAAATCAAACCACAGATATCCATAAATTAAGTTATGTGTAATAATGTGAAATGACACAGGGAAAAAGTATTGAACACGTGATGAAAGGGAGGTGCAAAAAGGCATGGAAAACCAAGACACTAGCTGAAATCTATCAGTAATTAGAAAACAATCCTGCCACTTGTAAGTGCAAATTAATATCAGCTGGTTCAGTCCCAACTGATGGCCTATAAAAAGGTGTCTCATCACCAAGGTGTCACACAAGAAACATCTCATGATGGGTAAAACCAAAGAGCTCTCTCAAGACCTTCGCAACCTTATTGTTGAAAAACATACTGATAGCATTGGTTACAGAAGGATTTCTAAACTTCTGAATGTTCCAGTGAGCACTGTTGGGGCCATAATCCAGAAGTGCAAAGAACATCATTTCACCATAAACCGGCCACGACGAGGTGCTCCTCGCAAGATTTCTGTGAAAAGAATTATCAGAAGAGTTGTCCAAGAGCCAAGGACCACTTGTGGAGAGCTTCAGAAAGACCTGGAATTAGCAGGTACAAAAAAGAAAACAATAAGTAATGCACTCAACCGCCATGGCCTGTATGCACGCTCACTGCGCAAGACGGAGAAAAAGAATGTTGAAGCGCGTTTAAAGTTTGCTGCACAACATTTAGACAAGCCTGTGAAATACTGGGAGAATATAGTCTGGTCAGATGAGACCAAAATCAACTCTTTGGATGCCATAATACACAGCATGTTTGGAGGTCAAATGCCACTGCACATCACCCCAAAAACACCATACCAAAGCAGTGAAGCTTGGAGTGGGGGTGGGCTGTTTCAGCATTGGCATGGGTTTGAAAGCAAGGCCCAGCCAATCACCTGACTTGAATCCAATAGAAAATCTATGGAAAGACCTAAAGATCAGAGTTCATAGAAGAGGCCCACGGAAACTTCAAGATTTGAAGACTGTGCAGAAGAATGGGCCAAAATCACACCTGAGCAATGCATGCGACTAGTTTCTCCATACAGTCTCGGAGCTGTTACCAACAAAGGCTTTCGTACTAAGTATTAAATACATTTCACTAAGCATGTTCAATACTTTTTCCCTGTGTCATTCCATTTTATTACACAACTTTAATTTCTGAAATTATTTATTTTGGTTTCTTTGCATGTGTGGATTGGATGGGTTGTTACCAACATCTGGTGAACATTTCATGACAATAGCACCTTTAGAAAAATATTTACGGAGAAAAATGGTGACGTGTTAAATACTTATTTTACCCGCTGTATGCTGCCTTGAAATGGAAGTCATGAGCTCGGGGTCACGCCATGAAGTCCTGCATGCAATGGACTCTTCTTGTGAAATAGTAAACACGACCCCATTTGAACGCAGCAGTACTGTCAGTGTACTTTGCAGCCAACGGATTTTAATTTTGAAATGAGGAAACGAGCGGTTTACGAATACATTAAGTTAATACATTAGTTTTGTTTTTTACTATATTTAAGTATATTTTTAATTAATGCCATAATTCAAACAGGATCAGTTTTTGACAGTAAAATGTTTTAATATTAGAATAAAATACGGTATACAATGGAATTAAATCAGTACATTTAAAAATGTACCAAGACAAAGTTAGGGATACTGTAAACAAAAGAAATAAAAGTTTTCAATTAACAGTTAACAAGCAACTGGTGATTTAAACACTAAAATGTGATATGTGATTTGTCATTTAAACACTATAATGTACTGTACCAAATGAACCTACATGAGAAGTGTTGGGCTAGTTACTAAAACTATGAAATGTATTTCTTATTACTTTTTAAAAGTTATAAAGTAATATAATTCCAATTGGTAAAAGTGATCCTTCTCCGAATAAAATTAAAATCAAAGTAATGGAATATTTCCAGCTGCTAAATGTTTCCATCTAGTTTCCTCCATGATTACACAAATGAATCCAAGGATGTGGATGGGTGGTGGGATGTCAGATCAGTAGGGGTGACAACAAAAGTAATGTTGTAACTATTTCTGGGGGGATAACTGTAATACCGGTATTATTACTGACATTTATTAGTAATTAGTTACACTACTAATTACTTTAGAAAGTAATATTACTGTAATATTGTTACTAGAAATGCTTTACTGCAGAGCACTGTACATCAGTGGTTCCCAACCTTTTTCCTTAGAACCCCGATTCTATCATTTGATACTGCATACAGACTTAATGGGCTTCTTCTCTGACAAATTCAGTGTTTTCTTTTCCATAATTCTTGGCCATTGTTTCATTATTAGTCAATTTACTTTACTTTCCTTTTCTTCTCCTTTTTGTAAATCAAGAAGGCCTTGCAACGCCTTGTAAAGCTTTGGCGACCCCCAGGTTGGGAACCACTGCTATACATCATACTTAAACTGGAAATATATTGAAATACACTTGGATTATAACAATTAATTTCATTTCAGTTGAGTCAGTTTCATGACTAATATAATTTAAAAAGGAACTCTCAGATGTTCACTGTATATGTAAACAAAGTTGTATAAATCCTTTAGTGTCAAATTTGTAACACAACCTCTGGTTGCTCAACCAGTCAAACATCCACAGCTGCACACCCACTCTGGTCTTCATTCTGGCTGATTACACCTGGGCTCAGGTTGAAGGAGGGCAGAGACGTGCTGTGAATTATATGTCACCAAACTAATATTGATACAAATTCAATTTAGCAAATCTAACAGTAGAGTGGGGAGATGTCAAACAAGCACCATCGGGACACTCCCACACAGACCTGAGCTCTAATCAACCTACTTACTACCTCAGTGAGCCAAAGATACAGCTCTGGTCGCCACTGCTACACCACGCCATCCTGCAGTAGTCCTGCATGTTGTGGAGCCTGCTCTACACCAGTGTTAGATGTTCAGCAGCAGTCGAGGCACAAATGCAGAAAAATGCATTATTTTATGGTCAATACATGAGTCTGTTTCTAGCTTAGAGTTTTTCTTCCAATCCATATTCTTACTAGTGCTGTCAAAAATGTACCTAAAATGAACTTGTTTACTTCCTGTGATGACTGACCTATGATCTGTGACGATGTGTGTAGGCCCAGCTAAAGATGGATAAGGACAAGCCACACCCACTGCAGGATTGTGGTACTTTCTGTTTTGGTCTGTGAATAACCAAACCTAGCAGAAGACAACAGACAGACAGAAATCACTGGACACATCTCTGATAATCTGCATATTATAATACACACACTGCTCCCCCATTGATAAAGAATGGAATCCACGATCAGTTGCACCATGCACCAACTGTGAGTAAAATATTTAAATATACTTCCTTTGTGTTGATTCTACATGAATTCTGCAATTTCAAATTTAAATATATATTATTACAAGCTTCTGTCTGAAGAATACAAAACGCAATGAATTGCAATTAAATTGTGCCATAATTAGGTAATTTTTTTAATCAATCAAAAATGTATTAAAAAGGTTTTTAAAAATGTGTCCCTAAAAACTGCAGATGAGAATTTACAGGATAACTTTACCTGGCTAAGATCATGTTAGCCTGGATGAACTATTTGAAAATAACTGGGATTCTCTTTAAAGCTGATAGGTTGTTAGATTGGATTCCATTAAGTTATTGTTTATTATTGTGTCCTCCCCTTTATGGATCTATCGGTTTCACATTTAAAGCTGCAGCAGGTCATTTTTATAGAAATTTAAAAAGTCATATTTTCTGAACTGAACTACCACTACCACTATAACCTGAGAGTAGTACATGTACTTCACTGAACTCTGATTGGTTGTTTTCATTCAGGCACAGTGGATTCTTCCAAATGTCATTAAGAGGAACCAGAGGAACAAGATTTTTTCACAGATTATCTGTCTCATGTTCTACTGTCAGGATATAGTGAAAGTTTCAGAAAATATGACACAAGTCAGGAGTCAGCCAACCTGGAGTCCAATCAATGAGACGAGATTGGAGGTGTTGGTTAAAGTCTCCCTGCCCTATAAAAAACACACACCAGTTTTGAGTTTGCCATTCTCAAGAAGCATTGCCTGATGTGAACCCTCCGATTAAGAATTGTTGACTTGCATAAAGCTGGAAACAAAAGTATCTCTAAAAGCCTTGATGTTCATCAGTCCACGGTAAGACAAATTGTCTATAAATGGAGACATTTCAGCACTGTTGCTACTCTCCCTAGGAGCGGCCGTCCTGTACAGATGACTGCAAGAGCACAGCACAGAATGATCAATGCAGTGAAGAAGAATTGTGGAGAAGAAGAGTGTCAGCCACAGACTTACAAAAATCTCTGGCACATGCTAACATCTCTGTTGACGAATCTACGATACGTAAAACACTAAACAAGAATGGAGTTCAAGGGAGTACACCACGGAAGCCACTGCTGTCCAATAAAAACATTGTTGCACGTTTGAAGTTTGCAAAAGAGCACCTAGATGTTGCTGTCATCGACGGATAAATGAATTCCCAAGTTTATCAAGACATTTTGCAGGAGAACTTAAGGCCATCTGTCTGCCAATTGAAGCTCAACAGAAGATGGGTGATGCAACAGGACATCGACCCAAAGCACAGAAGCTTTGAGGGAAATGTTTGGTTGAGGTTATTGCTGTCAAAGGCGGGTCAACCAGTTATTAAATCCAAGGGTTCACATACTTTTTCAACCCTGCACTGTGAATGTTTACATGGTGTGTATAATAAAAACATGAAAACATAGAATTGTTTGTGTGGTATGAGTTTAAGCAGACTGTGTTTGTCTATTGTTGTGACTTAGATGAAGCTCAGAACACATTTTATGACCAACCAGGAATCCAGGTAATTCCAAAAGGGTTCACATACATTTTCTTGCAACTGTATTTCTTGATTGTACAAAATAAATGTTTAGGTCATGTGTGTTAAGATAAGGCCACTAGAATGGAACTTGGAAAAAGTTAGTCCAGGTAGAAGTGGTGTGATTGGATCATCACTTGCTGTGCGTGCAGTATTCTCTGATCCAACCCAGACCCTCCTCTGTGAAGCCTAAAGTGGGCGGAGAGGATTATTAACATGTATTCTTTCTAAATGGGTTTCATA